GTCCCAAAGATACCTGCTGTTCAGCTCATGGCCCCTGCAGACTGCATTGGGAGTTTTTTAGGGTTCTTCCCTAATCTCTGTGGTGCTATATTCTTTCTCATCCCTCTTTACAATAGTGAAGAAAAATTAGATTTTCCATCACAGGGATCACAACCACCTGCAAAGGCTTAAGAGGCTGCGCCAGTGCTGTCTAATACATGCTCTTCTATCTGCCACTAGATGAGGAGGTGAGAAAACCAGTGGTCAGTGAAATACCTGTCTTTGTTTTCTTACAAGGCAAGGTACTTAAGAGTGAATCTGGCTTTAGATATATGTTTAATCCCATTTTAATCATTGTGATTTAAGGCAGATATATGCTGAAGTGCCTAGTTGATTATCAGGGTGGAGAGTGATACACAGATTTTGGAATAGATACATATAATGGATCTGTTTGCGGGGTTTTTATTATTGCTTTCTTTCTCTGTTGCCTTAAAGGTTACTCAGTGATGGTAATAAAAAGGCAAAATAGGAAGATAGTGCAAAAAGCAAAAGCTCAGGAATATATTAAACACCATCGAGTCTGTCAAGAGTTTGGAGGCATTTTGGTGCCGTTTGTATTCGCTCAGTAAAATGTTTTGCAATGATAATTTTCTAGAAAAATGCTGGGAATAATGATGGGCTAAAAAAATAGCCACACAACAAGCAATGGAATGCAGTCTACCTCTCCAAATCCTGGGGTGGTTCTAATGGGTCAGGTAATGCTGAGTACTCTTGAATTAAATGGATGGGTCAGTAGGGGGAACATTGGCAAGCTGTTGACATAAAAACCAAAGCAGAACAAAGGCGTGGGGCAGGGGCCACAGTCTGACAGATTTTACATGACTTTCAGTTACTTAACAGGTAACGGCTCTAATCACAGTGCAGACCAGACTCATTCCAAAAAAGCCACTATTGCAATGTAGGATTATTCCATATCCGGACTGTGGAGATTTTCACGTCTATGTTTCATTTCATCCTATGAAAGAGAAAGGGGGAAAAAAAACAAAAACAAACCTCTAAACATTTATATAGTTCTTTTTTCTTAAATGAATTAGTCTTGCCAAGGCTGAGTTTTGTATTTGTTTATGCATATTTTCAAGGCTTAGATAAAAGAGCACTTATTCAGTCTACCATCAACACATTGCTGTGGTGTAAGGGGGAGGGAAGGGAACCCTCAGCATATATGGAGAATATATAAAGATCTGAATCACATGGGTGTTCTTTTATTTGCAACCATCATTTATTTTCTATTTAAAAACAAATAGGAAATGAAAGAAAACATAATACAGATCTGGTTTTCTCTGGTTGAGAAAATGGTAATTAAAATAGTGAACATCTGCATGACAGGATATTTCTAAAAAAGGAACTGTTCCTTGATTGTTACATAGTTTGATTTTTAAAGAAATGCAAGGAATTTAGGACCTCAGCAACCACTGAATCTGTGTAAGATCTGGATGCCTAATTCTCTTCTGTGCCTCCCTGGAAATTACCCACTTGGCCTCCATGTTTCTGGTGATGTTGGTGCCATTCAAGGAACCCAAGCTCACCAGTACGAAAGCTGTTGATATTCCCCATTGCAGCAAAAAACTGCCAGTGTGTTCTGGCTTTGACAAAACATTTTGCTACGTAACACACTGCTGGGTGGGATGTGCATTTTTTATTCTTGCACAGAATCTGTTACAATAAGCACTGTTTGCAACTCTGTGATTAATGACTTCTGTCTCCAGTGCTCTGTACAGCAGCACAACTTGCAAGAGAGTCCCATAATTTCCTGAAGACACATTGTCACAATGAGACACTTTTCCAGTTATTATGTGGCTTTTTGCACTCTGTTTTGGTATGAACAGACAAATGTTTGCTCCTTCTATACAGATTTTGTGCGCACACCTCATTATTCTAACTTACAGATGCAGGTATAGTTTTGCCCACAGAAAAACCAAACTCATAAATGCTGATAAAATAAGGTAAAACAAAGGCACCCCAAACTCTCTGGATGGGAACTGTTTAAATAGAAGCTGAATTGCACCAAATTCAGATTTTTTTATTATTTTAAAATTTACAATTTGTGTGTGTGTATGTGTAGGGGAGGATAGTTTTGCAAAAGGCAACTATTATCAAGGTGCTGAAATTAATTGGTTGCTTTAATTGAGGTAGATTACTAGCTAATGCTTTCTTGAATACAGTAATTCTCCTATTAAATTATCTTCGAATAATTACCTGAAATTTCTCAGCTGCAGGGACTGATGGCTATTTAATTGCACAGTGATGTTGCTATATAATTACTTAACAAGGTGTCCTTTAATAGTTTAATTCCCCTTTTCCAAGGGAAAAAAAAACCTACAGATACAACTTATTTTTTAAGTGTTGTGATTTTACTTGGGTTTGGTTTTGAGGTGTGTGGGGTTTTGGTTTGTTTTTGTTTTTTGAGATAACTAAAGCCGAATCAGTAAAAGAAAGTTATTTGTTGGCTTGCTTTTAAAAATAAGCCCTTTACTCAAGTGTAGATTTGGAATGAGAAGTGTTTTGAAACTCAGGAATGTTGAGGCATCCCTTTGCTTTCATTGGATTTATTTTGGGTTTCTATAGCATGTTTTACATTACGCTTGGAAAGAGACATTAGAAGCTTAGGTCTGATATGGGAAGACTTAACTACGTTTTTGCAGAGTTTTGTGGATAAGGAGTTATCCACTTAATGGTGTATCCTGTGCTGAAGCAAAGCACGTTGAGCAGGATTTTAGACCTTTATTTATTTGTCCTGGACACAAAGTGTAAGTCTTGCTGCTGGGTCCTATCAGCTGAAGAAAGCGAATGGAGAAAACAGCCATTTGTTGAAAGATTTTCTTTTGAATCTGTGTGTGTACAGATCTGCTGGACCTGTAGATTATCCCAAAAGATGAAGTTCTGAACAATACCCATGGTCTATTTAAAAAGTGGGGGCTTTTAAATTTCTCTTTTTAAACAGTAGATGCACTGACCAGTGACCTCTAGATGTGTTCCACTCAGCTTCCATGCTGAGACACAGAGGGAGCCATCCACAAACATCCCCACCCAGAGCCTGGCGCTGCTCTTCAGAGGCTTGAGGCTTTCAGTCTGGATCTGCCAAGTCCCATCCTAAACATCTTTCAGTGTAGGCAGAGGTCTTTACAAACAGGTCGATGAGACTATGCAGAATACATACCATGTGGTCAGTAACAGGCGTTGTGAACCACTTCAAAGAATTCCAAAATGCCTCTTTGTATATGCCACCTTAGGGCTAGCAGAGAACAATCAAACCAGTATTGTAGAACTATTCATCTCTCCACAGGGATGGGTTTTTGGACACGTCTCCAAAGGATGAAAGCAACGTACCAGTGACGGCAGATTACAGTGCACGTAGCCCAGTCTGCCTGGGATGAGGGATGTCCTGCTACAGGTGTTATCCCATGAACGTACAGTTCTTGATTCAGTCATATAGGGTTATCTCCATCTTATCAGAAATAAACAGCAAAAATTTTTTTTCTATGTCCATCAGTCTGGAAAGCCTGATATGTAATATTCATTGCCTGACTTTTCAGCAGTGATCAAATTCACAAGATGGCCAATGGAGTGTTCAGATCAGACACTTAAGGCTGGATTTTTTTAATTACTGATGCAGCGCTGTTGGCTGGATGCAGTTTCTGTCAATTTGCATAAATAAGGTTGAAAATTGCAAGACACTCCTGAGATATTTTTCCCTTATGCTTCAGTTATGGCATAAGAAAACCGTGAAAAGGAAAGAAATGTTTCAGCACTCATTGCTTGTGTCGGCATGAATCCATCCTCCTTCTTCTGACTTCTTAGCAGTTAATGTGGAACAGACAATCTTTCTTCCTTGGCCATGAGAAGGTTGGGGCCTTTGTCTTCTACGATCTAAAAAACGTGTTATCTTTGCAAAGTGCCACTTGTGCCAGAGGATGGTGGCCCAGGCCACAGGTGAGCCTAGAAGAATCCATGCAGGAGATGAGCATGAGCTGAGCACATTGGCTGCTGCTCGCAGGCGAACAGCTCTGGTTCTCTGTTACCAGGGAGCCCTGCGTGGCCCTGGATGCTCATCCTATCATCGGGGGGTTTGCAGTAATGCAGGGGAGCAAAATGTGTTTGCAAAGGCCTGGTAATGGGACTGGAGCCCAGCTCTGGTAGATTCCGTACAGTGGTTTGTTGTCCTGTCTAGACATGAGGATAGAAATAAAAGTTCCTGAGGTGAAATACTGCTATCCTGAAGCACCTTCAGCCTACTGGAGGTGCATATAATGGTGCTGTAAATGGAAAGACTGAGGGATGTATTACTAGTCACTTCTCCAGAACATTTCCAAGTCTCCCAGAAGTCACTTCTCTTGCTTTTTCACTTCTTCTCCTGCTTTCTTCCTTTGCTTTGACCTCCACTTGTTCTTCATCTCTTTCTTCCCCCATCCAAACCCTCCCTTTTCATTCCCCACCCTTTTGACTTCACTCCTCCCCTCACTTATTCTCTTCAGTGTCGCAGCAGTGGTAGTCAAAAGGAGAAAGGCATGGAATTGTGTGTTACTAAATGGGTGGTGCTGATGGAAAATCAGGAAGGAGGAAAAGAAGAATTAATTATCCTTAACATAAGGGTTAAGAAATTTTTCCAACTAACACTAATATCTGAAGATATCCTAAATTTGTGAGAAATGTGAACTTTCCTTCTTCCTTCATCAGATGACTGTAGCTAAAGTGTCAGAAAAGGAAAGAGAGGGCCAAACCTTGTATCTTTATCCCTCCATTCTGTAAGTAACCTGTAAAGAGGTTTTTTTCCAAGGTTGCTGAGCATCTGCTGATTCACTGCTACTTAGGAAGGATGGGGTGTAACTGTAATCTGTTACTTTGAGACCCTTCTATGAAAGATATGAAACAAGCACAATTTGTTGTTGCAAGGAGGCAGTTTGTATAACCATTCTCTGACCAGAAGACCAGCCATTAATTTTTGGTTTCTCTGTTTCTTGCAGCTGATAAGGAGAATATGCCAAGTCATATGACCAGATAAGTCAGCACAGGCAACATAAAGTGAGTTTGTTTGCTTTTTTTTTTTAAAATGTTCGTGCTCCATGAAAACTTACTGCAATATTGCTTACAATTATAAACACAGAAAAGGGCTACTAAGATTTTCTTACATTTCTATTTTAAACATGGCTGTGTATCCCCTTAGTGAAGGAGTGGATGGTTAAGAGACTGAGTTTGCTCTTAAACAAAATAGTTTCTATGTCTTTTATTTTTATCAAAGGCTGATGACATACATTAACAATGGAGAATACTGATAAAATCTTATCAGCAGTGATAGCCAAAATCATTTCCTCGTATTAGCAGAATGTATATGTCTGCACTGGGGTGAAGACACCCTGACCACTCATCAATGCAAGCAAGATTTTGAAAGTTAATTCTTTCTGCCCTGGAGTAGAAACACATGAAACATTGTCTCAGTGTGTATGGGCAGGTAGTGTTTCTGTGAGCGTGCCGGCTTTTAATTTTAAATCTGGAAGAGTACTGATAATATCCCAGCAACCTATTAGAGAATTAAAAATGTCAATTTCAATTGCAAATTCATTTTACTTGGAGGGATATGCAGACACCTAGACCTTCTGTAACCCTATGCAGTGCTTGGCATCTGGAGAATGATCTTCTGAAATATGGGGGGGGAATCACAAAAGCGCATAAAGTTGGTAAGAGTGATTTTGTGTTCCCTCATTTTGTATTATTTCATACAAAAAAAATAACTGGAGAAAAAGATTGTGGTATTTTTTCCTCATATTTTGTCATTACAGCTGTGAGATTTGATGTAATATTTACAGAAATAGTTGTTTGAGTTGCAAGAGGTGGATTTTGTGCTAGGACCATAGAGTAATCATGTGGCTGCTCTGAACCATGCGATAATGAGGAGGGGAGCAGTGGTTTATCTTCTCTACTCCTTTAATACCTAATTTCCATTTCTCCAGGAAAAAAAAAGAGTTCTTGAATCTAAACTTTGCAGCTCTTGACCTTTTCCTGTCTCCATAACATTATACAGGAATTCATGTGTGGATCGTGTGTCGTGTCTGGGTGTTAGACCAAGCTATCACATACCATGTAAGGGGTGCACCCAGTGCCATGTGCTGGCTTTGCTGGTCTCCTCACCTAGCACATCTGTGCTGTGCAGGCACAGCTGGGGGGCCATGCTGAGGTGGCTTGTAGGCACGAATTGCTCTGCTGAATACCTCGTCCCTCTACTGTTGTCCAACACAAGGCCTCTTCCCTGTCAGGCATCTCAAATACCAGTGTGGTGCTTCATAGGATCAGCTCTAGCATCTGGGATCCTGAAGCAGGAGAGGAGCCTGAAGCTGCTCCATCACAAAATGTAGTCAGTTGTGTGTAACGTGGAGTGTAGAGTGAGCATGAATTCATCAATTCATAGCTCATGAGTCTGGAAATCGTGCTAGCGTTTCTTCAAAAGGGTGTGTTTGTTGCTGTGCTTTGTCTAGACTAATCTGCAAATGTGAATAAATGTCAAGATATGAGGTCACTGATGAAGGAGAAGTTTTACAGTTCAAGTTTGGCAAAAAAATATTATTCATAAAGCTTGGCTTCAGAGTAAAGCATTTCAGCTGTATTCTCTTCATCCTTCTTGTCATGCTGTAGAAAAAAAAGAAGGTAGATCTTGATTAGCTGGTTGTATGTGTGGGTGCTGTTAATCATGAGCAACCAAGACTTGAGGGATAGTGGCATCTTTCAGTGCACCAGGTATCACTTCACAAAAGTTATCTTTGACAAATAGGTACATAAGTTAATAATATTTATGATGATGGCACTGTTTTCATAAGGAGTTTTTATACTTTGTGTGTAAGTCTGCAGTTTTGGATATTTTATGTCTCTTTGAGTAGCTAGAAGTCAGTTTGTTTTGGTCTGGAAAAACTGTGTGGAGTACTTGTTCCTCTGGTGGTACTTGGGTGAGAGGAAAACAAACTTGGGTCATCAGAAAGGTCAAGAATTAAATATTTTCTAGCAAGACTCCTGTATACAAGGGGTTTAAACATTGTGGCAATTATATCTGATATCAAATTCAAAGGTATGCACATATCCCTTATTACTAAAACCAGTTAGAAGGATTGCTCATTAGGTCTAGGCTTCAGCACTAGAAAAAGACTCAGAGCAAAATTACAGTTGCAAATAAAATAATTTCAATTAATTACATTGGATTTAACTCTCATCCTTTGGATTACACAGGTTGAACTGGGTTTTCTTTTATGGAGATCAACAAAAAGAGAAAATATACTCTTCCATTCCATATCAAGGTGTACACAAGTCTCCTTCCCTTTCTCAGCCTTTTGTGATTCTACTTCATGTCCTCCTCTTTTCTTTTCCTCAATCCTATAGCTTTCTTCTGTTTCACATTCCGGATGCTGGGTATCCACTACCCAGTAGCAAAGGAATAGTTACCTTGTTTCTGACTGTATGGTGAACTTTCAAGTTCTCTTTATCTAAACGAGAAGAGAGATTTTTCTCAAAGTAGTCATAAAATATTCTGGCTTTAGTCTAGATTTGCCTCATCTATTTAAAGAATAAAGATGAAAACGCAAGCTATGCATGTGAAGTTTACATTTTCATGTGAAACTATTGTATCTCAAGTATACAGTCATTACAAAAAAGAGCAATGTAATTATTGTCCTTGAGCCATTACCCCCAACGTTTCCTATGGTATTAGACTTATTGCTTCCATCTAATGACTCTCAGATGTCTACATTAGATTGTGCTTCTAAATGCTGCTGTTTATTAATAACAATGGGAGCTTTTTTCTTTTGTAGTTGGGTAGAATTGGTACTGATGACAATGTGTCCTGCATTGAGTCTAACTGCTAATATGATGCAAGTGAAAACAGTCCTTTAAAATTTATGAAACGTTAGTAGATCTTTCCATGAGAAGTTCCACTTAACTTCATTTTAATGCATTCCTTCTGAAACCATGAACATCGACGTTTTTGTTCTGAAAATCGTTTTGGTTGATGCTATCGTGAGTACACTGAAAATGGTGGTGGCCATCCTTGCCCCTGGTTGGAGGCTGCAGTGGGGCCGCAGCCAGGAGGGGGCACACGGAGCAGCTCTTCCTCTAGCCCTGCAGAAGCAAATGGCATCATCAGGAAAAAATTATGCAGGGCTTCAAACAGTACCTTTTTATAGCACTTCAAATGCATCAGTGAGATAGTGGCAAGGAAAGAGAGCTGCACTGTTACATAATCAAAGAAAGACATTTTAATTTTTTTTTTCCCCTCACGTCTTTTTTTGCGTTTTGTGCATCATAAGTCTACAAATGGTACTTAAGACATAAAAAAGCCAAATTAGTTTTCCTGTGAGTATAATAGAAATCATTTTTGCTAGACTTGTATTAAAAACAAAAAACCCCTTTGTTTCTTTGGTATTGCGCACCTGCATTAATGCAAAAGGTTGTTCTGAATGCTGCTGGTAAGCTCGCCTTGCTGGTAGGTGGAAACTCATCTGTGGGTCCTGAGGATCTAGATCACGGCAACTGCTAGGTATGACATGTTTAATCTTGGGTAAGACTTGCAGCACTCTGGGCAATTAAGTGTCTGTGTGCACCAAGTGTGTACTCAACTGCTTGTATAATTTGCATGAATAGCTGGTTGCGCGCATAAGTACATAATTAATTAGCTGCCTGTGCTATTAACTGCTGTGGACGTACAGCTATGTCTGTTTTCTTTTTTAGGAGCATTTGTGAGGGATTTTCAGTGCTTGTAGAATACACAAATAGATAAGGAATCATAAATACAGCATTTTGTTTGTGCAAGTAGGATCCATACAGCGTTGTTTTCCTAAACCAGTAGCTATTTAAAAATAGTAATTGCAAAAGATTTGAGTATGGTTTTCAGTAAATTTATCTTCATTCTGACTTGTCCATCCAGCCATGCACCTTCAGCTCGGGTCTTTATGCTGTTTAACCCTTGGTACCAGTTTTAAAGTGCAATTGTGTATCGCGTGTTCCAAGTTGGTCACACAGCCCGTGCTTCAGTACATGACGTGTTTGGGGGGGTAAACAAGAGTCGGTGCAAGTTAGGCCCATGCCCTTGCTGCTTTTTGGATCGGGTTCATCAAACCCAGCAGGGCAGGTCGCTCGCACAGCGCTCATAGAGGCTCTTCCCTGCGAATGAATAAACCATTTATAATTGTATTTTTCTAAAGTGCACAGACGCCATAGATGGCATGAGATTTTTTTTTTTTCTCTGAATTGGGTTCTTTGTGCTGAAATGTGTAGTTAGCACAAATATTCATCCTGTTCTGCTGTATAAGCTGAAAGGGTCCAGAGGAAGCAATGAATGCGCAAGTCACTCTGACATTTCACTCCTCAGTCCTTCGCCCTGATATTGTAACTTCCCTGTTTCTCAGCAAAGGCGTAAGGGGAACATATCCAGCTAATATGTGAAAAAATTTCAACTTTTCAGAAGTGATAAAATTCAGGGCTTAAGATGGTGGTGTTTTGTCAGTTGAATTCGCTGTTTCTTTTGATATTGGTGAGTTTTAGGAGCGTGAACCTCACGCAGCTATGAAGCAGTAAAGATGTGTGTAGGCTGCTTATTTGTTGAAAACCAACAGCGAGTGCTACAGCACTTAGAAGGGAACTGTAATTGCTCTAAGCTTTTCTCTTCTGGGGTGTGTAGAACTCTGATCTTCATAATCCTGGGCATTGAGAAACTGAATAACAGTCGTCTTGTTTAAAGTACAGTGAAAAACATCAATTGCATCTCTCCTCCCTGACTCTTACCCTGGCAGTTTTGCCTTGAAAAGCAATTTTCTTGCAGAACCACTGACATATTAGTATCCTTAAAATTAAGATGCTGATTCATTAGCCCTTGAAATTCTGGAAGAGATTAGCTACAAATTCTCTTCTTTGAATAGGTTGTATGAATATATGAATTGTGGCAGAATGCTTCTTGTATCAAAATTTAGCTTCAGATTAATGTAACTCTAAAAATCAACATCTCTGTGAAAATCTGCATACTGCTCATAAGAGATACTTCTTTCTCT